CTACCCGCGGGTACGGGACCGCCGGAGCGGGTGGCTGTCCTCGGGGACACAGGGCAAGGCAGGAGGTGTCCGGGGACCCCTCCTCGGTGGGCAAATCACAGGGTCTGGATTTTTGTGTACCCGGAGAGGCGGGGTCCGTTGAGGGGAATAGATCCTGTCTGAGCTSCTGGGAAGCTCCTTAACAGCTTCTTAACAGCTGATCTCTTAAGAATCCATTTCCTTTGGCAGTGTTTAAGAAGTGTGATCGTTAGTTTTGTTGCTTTTGTTGCTTTTTGTTGCAAGATATGTTGATAGAGGTGAAAGGAGCTTCTCTCATGAGAACGTAACAGTATCACCACAGCTCATAGTCTGCACTTTAACTGTGTGGGCTTTTGCATGTTTTCTGCTAAGCTCTGGCTAGAAAGATTAAATCCATTACTTAGTCTGGATTCCTCAATGGCCCCAGCTCAAAGTGTGGGCTATAATTGTCTTTGCCTCCCCATATCCTTCCTTACATAATTAGGAAAAAAGGCATAATTAATAGAGAAACAGTTGCATGRTTTACTGCATTTTGTTTCAACATTCAGCATTTCATTCACATTGTTTGTGAACAGATTAATTTTGACTGTGTAGTGGGTCCTGGCATTCAACTGATTTGTTTGCATGGATGTAATTTGAGAAATTCTGGGTTTTTTTCCACTGGATGCAATGATCATTTCACCACTGAATTTGCTTTTGTTGTTGTTCCTTAGAGAAAGCCAGTAGTGCTGACAGGACTGGAACTGGGCACTTGCACCACCAAATGGACAGTAGATTACTTGAGCCAAGCTGAAGGATCTAAAGAAGTAAAAATTCATGTTTCTRCAGTGCCACAGATGGATTTCCTCAGTAAGAACTTTGTGTATAGGTACTTCACTCCAAGGCCTCTTGTATATTAAAGATGTATGCTTGTAACTTGCAGACAGACAGTGCATCTATTTGAAGCTGAGGGTAAGAATACAAAGATAGTTTGTGAAAACATTAAATTATATATCGAAGTGTTGTCCTAGATTTCTTCCTCTTTTATTAATTCTACACCTTGAAAAACTATGATAAGGGTGAAATGAGGGGCCAAACAGCACCTTAAAAGTGATGCCATGAAGAAGTGTTATAAAGGTATTTTGTAGARCATTCCTGTAGGAAATTTGAGCCTGGCAATTGCAGCTGTTAATTAAAAAAAGCAAACCAAAACACCCTTGCTAGTAGATGACATGGTGTTTTGTTTTAGTTATATGGTGTAATCTCAGTGTTACTGAATAGTGATAATTTCTGTCWCACCAYGAGTTTGATCCCTTTTGAATGCTGRTGTGTGGCAGGCATGGTATTGCTCTCTACAAAGGGTGTAACTAATKAAATCCAAGCTCCTTTTAAATTTARCATGTGCAGCTTTCAGRATGTTCAAACTACTGRATACCACACATTTCACCAGCTCTTTCATCTTGATATGGGSCACACAAAAAAAACTTGATCTCCTCTAGTGCTCCTCTTATGTAACTGCCAGAACATTTCTTCRGAGTTCATCTAATCTCAGCCATTGTGTTGTTCTTCAAGGGTAAATGCCTCTATTTTAGTAGTTCTTTGTTCTCACCAAGTGCTAATGGGATGTGTTCAGTCTATTGAACTTCTAAGCAGGTGGGAGTGTACACTGTAGGTGTAAACAAGCTGCAGGTCTGAGTGGAGCCTGTTATTCAGGGGATAAAAACAAGTTACAATCATGATGCATTCTGCWCATTGTATAATGAACTTTTGAATCTTTGAAATTAGGTTGTGCTTGAATAATTTGCCTTGTCACCATCACTTTATTTTTTCTGCTCTATTTTGTTTTTTTAATAGTATCTCTTACTGTGAGTTCATATACAGTTRTTCTGCAGTTCTGTTTTTAGCAGGTTTGTAAACAGCCTATGGATTCTCTGATGCTCCGATGGTGATTCATTGTAGCAGGTGTCAGGACTTTCACATTACCTCACCTGAAATTCAGGAATTTTTTTGACCTTTTCCACAGCAAGCCCCTCATTTGAATCTGAAGGGAGAATAAGTAGAAACAAGAGAAARTGAGGACTTAATGTGCAGTTCTGTTAGTTTAAACTGATGAACATTAGTAATRCTGCAGTTCTGATGTAAGCTGCATGCTCCTACCCGTTTTTGTGTTGGTTCTGGAACTCATTCAGCCAGGTTGTGACGTGCTGCAGAAATCAGAATGCTTTTCTGCTGGTTTAGCTTTGCAAGCAGGTTCACTGAGAGGTCAGATGAGTGCTACTGTAAGGGAGGACATGGGGGGATTGGGGTAGACAGCAAGGACAGAGCTGGGGCAGCACCAGAATGCATCAGTTTAAGCTGTAGTAGAGCCGTGCTCTCACTTTCTTCAGCAGCAAATGTAAGTGGATATAATAGAACAGTTTGGCTGAAGTCAGAGCATTGGGTTTTTGGTTTTCTATTGGCCYCAGTGGGGTTTGTATTTGCCTATTGCAAACAAGCCTAAGTTTGGAGAATTGGTTAAAGTACTGTCAGATGCAGGTTCTGGTAGAAGACGTAACAGGATCAAGAAAAATTTTGCTTGAGAGTGTTTTTTTCTTAATGCTGGATACATGGTGATTTCTCTGAAATGTGATGTTTACATGCAAAAATTCATTTCTGCTCAAGTTGCTCTAGTGGCCCTTGCTCTTGGCAAGGGAGTTGGACTGGRGGATCTCCAGAGGTGTCTTCCAGCCTCAGCAGTTACAGGATTCTGTTGGGGTAKACCTTGGAACAATTTACTAATGCAGAGATATTTCTAAGTGTAGGATTTCTGTCTTGATAGAACTCTTCAAACATCTGCTGCAAACACTGATTAGTGACCATGTTATAATAAGAGAGCAGCCTATTGGTAAGGGAGCTTACTATAAACCTAGTGTTTAGACCATGTGTTGTTACATTAATTCATGGTATGAATTCAAATGTTTATATTTCAGAACTCTGCCTTTTGATGTATTTGTACGAAGAGCAGCTGAAGTCAAGCACAAGGAGTACTTTCTTACTGAGGTAATTTCCTTAGTGTTACAGTTTCTTCTGTTAGTTATTTTGCTGGTATATGGAGAAGAAAGCTATGAATTATCATTTAAAGTCTTACTTCAGCAAAAGACTAACTTTCTTGTGGCTTGGTGCCAAAGGAAAAAATACAAGAATTAATTCTTCTCAAAAGTTGTTTTATATGTGTAAAGTGTGGTTAACTGTACAGCCATCCTGTTTCTGCTAACAAAAACTGCTTGCATGAATAAAAATTCCTGTACAAAATTTAGAAATCAAACTTTGCTTTAGAATAAGTCCTATCATTTGTGTGTTCTGCAAGAAAGTGTCATGAAGGTATTTTAGAATTTGATTACTATCAAAATACAAATCCAGATAATTTGTGAGTAGCAAATGTGTGGTTATCTTCACATATCTGTGTTCAGGCTAGGGATTTTTC